ACCACCTTACCACCTTACCACCTTACCACCTTACCACCATACCACCTGACCACCATACCACCTTCCCACCCTACCACCTTACCACTGCACCACCTTACCACTTGACCACCTTACCACCTTACCACCTTACCACATTACCACCTTATCACCTTACCACCTTGACACCGTACCACCCTACCACCTTACCACCTTACCACCTTACCACCTTACCACCTGACCACCTGACCACCTTACCACCATATCACCTTACCACCGTACCACCTTACATCCTTACCACCTTACCACCAGATAACCCATGCCCAAGTAACTCTGACCACCTTACCACCTTACCACCTTACCACCGTACCACCCTACCACGTTACCATCGTACCACCAGAAGACCCATGCCCAAGTAACTCTGACCACCGGACCACCTTACACCACTTTACCACCTTACCACCTGACCACCCTACCACCCTACCAGGCCCTACCACCTTACCACCTTACCACATTACCACCTTACCACCAGAAAACCCATGCCCAAGTAACTCTGACCACCTGACCACCTGTGTAGCACCAGTTTGTTTGTTCTTTTTTTATATTCTTTAACAAACAAGAAAAACTTGAGGAGGGGTCTTGCATAGCAGAGGGTGCAGCGCAACAGGTGGGGCATGTCTAGCACCAGAGATGCTTCTTAAAACAACTTGGGGAAGGGGTCTTGCCTAGCAGAGGGTCTATCACAACAGATGGGGCATGCCTAGCACCAAGGATGTTTCTTTGAATCAGCTTGGGGCGGGGTCTTGCCTAGCAGAGGGCGCAGCGCCGTAGAGGGGCATACCTATCACCGAGGATGCGTTTTGAATCAGTTTGTGGACGGGTTTTGCCAAGCAGAGGGCGCAACACGTCAAAGGGTTCAGCACCCTCGCCTGATCAGGAGGAGACGGGGAGAAGGCACGAGGATGATGAGGAGGAGGACGAGACAAACGAGGAGAGAGGAACAAGAGGAGGAAGAGAAGGAGGAGGAGAAACAGAGCCGTGACAAGGCGATGCCGACTTGGAAACCCATACCCAAGTAACTCTGACCACCTGACCACCTTGCCACCCGACTTCCTTACACACATTACCACCTTACCACCGCACCACCTTATCACTTTACCACCTTTCCACCGTACCACCTGACATCCTTACCACCTCACAACCGTACCACCGTGCCACCTGACCACATGACCCCCTGGCCACCTTACCACCTTACCACCGTACCACCTGACCACTTTGCGACCTTACCACCTTACCACCTTACCACCTTACCACCCTACCACCCTACCACGTCACCACAAGAAACCCACGCCCAAGTAACTCTGGCCACGTTACCACCTTACCACTTGACCACCTTACCACCTTGACACCTCACCACATTACCACCTTACCACCTCACCACCAGAAAAACCCATGCCCAAGTAACTCTGGCCACGTTACCACCTTACACCACTGCACCACTTGACCTCTTTACCACCTTACCACCTTATCACCTGATCACCGTACCACCCTACACCCTTACCACCTTACCACCAGATAACCCATACCCAAGTAACTCTGACCACCTTACCACCTTACCACCTTACCACCGTACCACCCTACCATCTTACCACCAGAAGACCCATGCCCAAGTAACTCTGACCACCAGACCACCTTACACCACTTTACCACCTTACCACCCGACCACCCTACCACCTTACCACCTTACCACATTACCACCTTACCACCTGAAAAACCCATGCCCAAGTAACTCCGACCACCTGACCACCTGACCACCTGACCACCTTACCACCTTACCACCTTCCCACCCTACCACCCGACCACCCGACCACTTTACCACCTTACCACCGTACCACCGTACCACCTTACCACCTTACCACCCTACCACCCTACCACCCTACCACCTGACCACCTTACCACCTGACTACTTGCCCCTGCGGTTTCCTCCCTCGCTGCCCCATGATCCTCCTCCGCCATCTCCTTCTTTTCGTACTCATCCCCCCCGTCCTCATCATCGCCTTCCCCATGCCCCCTCCCCCTTCTCCTCTTCCCCAACGTCATTCCAATATCAGGCAATCTCGCCCTCGTCACCATGCCGACCACCGGATTCACGCTGTTCATCCTCGTCGCCTTTCCGTTCGAAGATCTACGCGTTGGGTCTCAGGGCGGCGAGGAACAGCCGCTGCCGCGGCCGAGTGCAGCTCCGAACACGTGCCAAACGAACGTTCGAAATAGATTCTGCAATTTGCACGCGCCCCGCTTCTCCCCAAAGGCTGAGTGGCCATTGGTTCTTCAAGGGGGAACGCTACGCCAACTCAACGCAACCTGCACTAGTGTGCCGTCGCGAGCGCACGCCAGAAACGCGATAAAATAGCGAAGGGGAGGAGGGATACAGGAAACGCGCGCGCGAGCGAGGAAACGCATTGGGAAGCGGATGGCGAGGGAGGAGAGAGAGGACAAGGAGGACGGCGGAGAAGGATTGAATACAAGAGGAGAACGGCGAGGAAGATGAAAAGAAACAGGAAGCGGAAACGACGGGCGAAGCAGAGAAGGGCAAGGAGGGGCGGAAGGGGATGACCGACCGGATCGCCGCTAGTCGGCGGGGCGTCGGGAGCCAGCCTGCAAAGCACGCTGCCCTTAATTGCAAGGCAACAATTGCACGACGCAGCTCTAACCCACAGAGCTACAAATCACAGCAGCTGCGCACGATAAGAAAAAGCAGGAGGAGCAGGAGGAGGAGGAGGAGGGAGGACGGGGAGGAGGAGGGAGGAGGAGGAGTTGCTTAGACGACGGGGCCCAGAAAACCCATGCCCAAGTAAGCTGCTCGACGACGTCCTAACCTAGTTCGTCTACCAAGAGCTTCGCGGGACGAGCTGGGGTCGGAAGCAGCGGCCAGGAACTCTGCAGACTCTCAAGGCCCACGGGGCCCAGGAGTTCGATTGAATGCCTTGCGCCTAGAGGCCCCATCGGGCCCGTGGGCTCGGAGAGCTCATTAAGCCCGAACGGCCTCAAGAACCCATGGCCTGCGAAGTTGCGCATGCTATTTGTTTTCGTGGCAAACGCGATGTGCAAGACATGTTTATGGTAATGGCACGTGTGCGGCGTGCATGTTGCTGGTGTAGTAGTGCTCTCTGAGATGCGCGCGATATGGCAAGAGTTGCGCACGATGTGCACGCGGTTTGCACATGAGAAACATGGCACGGATCTCAAGAAAGAGCGCGCGTGAAGGCGACGAAATGTTTTTTCGCCCTGAAACCGAGTCAGCATGATCGTCTGTAGCTCATGGGGTCACTGGCGCCCCCACAAGTTCAATGTCAACGCGCGTTGCGCCAAGTTGTATGATGCGATGGGAACGTTGCACACGTGCCTCGCGTCAGTCTCATGAGGTTCGGTTCGCAGCCACAAAGGGTATGGGTTGAATATGAAAGGAGCAACGACACAATTCTTGGCAGCGATGGAGTTCGCAGCCTCAATCACTGCATCCGTGCCCTGCATCCACTCCTCCCATGTCATTGGCCGCGCGCGCAGTCCGGTTCCTCGAGCTGGCAGCAAGTCAGTGGCCGCGCCTATCGGACGATCTCGGAAAGCCTCTGCGAGCGAATCCATACTCGCAAACAGAGCATCGCGAGCGGCAGTCAGCACCAACGCTGTGCGTTTGCATCGAACAGCAACGGGCGGGCCCCACGTGACATTCAAAACCCCACGAGCCCTCACATTGTTAGCACGGCTCGCGTTGCTGTCTGTCCAGTGTTCGACGCTACCACTCCGGGGCAACCCTCGGGCTCGGCGCAAGTGGCTAGCGACCACCAAATCGAGGCCAGTCGCGACGGCCTTCCACGCAGCTCCTGGCGGCTGCAGAGGCACTACGTCCAAATCATGAAACCACCCGCCTTTCACAAGCATGATCTGCATCTGAGCTGCGTCCTTGATGGCCTGATAGGGCAGCCCAGCCCTCGCCCACCGGCGAGCATTTTTCACAAATGACACTGGTAATGGGACGAGGAAAACAACACGAATCCACTCCTCTTGGCCTTCCTCCTCCCCCATTGTCCTCGATACAATCGAATGGGCGGGTGGAAAAGGAGGGGGGGGGCCCAGGAGAACTGACCTACATTGCGTTCCTCATCCCAGATAGTTTTTGCATTCTGAGCCCTGGAAACCCTTGAATACCACACTTGCCAGTCAGCGTCCACACAATCTGCTGAAATCCTAGCTTGGAGGCCGCGGCCACCGCACGCAACTCGTCAATTTTCTTCGACCCCATCCAGAACCGATGGATGCACACAACGCCTTTGGAAGTGAAAGAAGCACGCACTGACGGAACAGGTTTGCTTTTTCTATTGGGAGGCCTGCCACGATTTCTGCCCGTGCGCGGCAGAGCTACCAACTTTCCTCTACACAATTGAGTGACATATCTTTTGCCACCTCGCCAAAAAAATGTTCAATTTTCTTCCACCCGCCCGGGGAGGTAGCGAACGCTTCACATCAAAGCCGCGATGCCTGAGCGGTCAAAGCAGCCGCCCCACTTGAGCCGGATTCTACATACAATATCACACTGATGTACAGTCGCCATCTGTAGTCAGGACAGAAGGTACGGACGCAAAACCCTTGCATGTCGCATCCCCGAGAACATCCTGAGACGTCAACCGCCGAACAAAAAACAAAGGAGGATTTCCAGGGACGAGGACGCAAGGGTACCCTGGAGGGGAGTATTCGCCCTTACTATGGATTCGAGCTGCATCTCATGACGGCCGAGGAGCACTGAGGACCCTGAGCAAAGGGCCGAGGAGCACTGAAAAGGGATGGAGAAGAAGGAGCGGCAAGATGACACCCGCAAAGTGAGTGACCACAGGAGTCCCCTCTCCCTCCTCCTCCTCTTCCTCCTCCTCCTCCTCCACCTCCTCCTCCTCCTCCCCCTCCTCCTCCTGCACTGCTCCTCCCCCTCCTCCTCCTCCTGGCGCCCCTCCCCCCCGCGGCCGGATCTCCTCGCAGGCCTTCTCGAGGTCGCCGATCCTCTCGGTCGGGTCTTCCCTCTCCTGGCTGGCGAGTGCGGCGGTGTCGGCCTTGCAGGCCTCGCCAAGGGCACGCCGTCGCCGTGGTCGTCCCCGTCCCCCCAATTCTGCACCACTGCGGCTTGGCGCGTGCCCGTCTGCGGAGGAGATCGCGCGCCAGAGAAGGAAGGAAAGAGTGTGGGACAGTACGCGGAAGCAGGCGTCAATCCTCTGGAGGCGCCTCGTCACAGCTTCACTCGGAGGAGAAAGAAAGGGGGAGGGGGGACTTGAGCAGCCTCCCTGGCCACAAAGACCAGCCAACCGACAGGGCGAGGCGTGCGCAGAATCCGCTCTCCGTCGCTTCCTTGCACCCTCGGTCCCTTCCGAGCTCTCCCGTCTCCCGCCTCCGTCCTCCTCCTGGCGGTGGCGGCGGTGGCAGCTGTCGGCGGCGGCGCAAGTGGTAGAGTCTGAGACTCCACACCCCCAGACGGCATGCGCAGCGAGCACGCCCCGAGCCAAGCCCCTCGACGCACGCCTTCTCCTCCACTGGCCGCGTGCCACCACCACAGCACAGCGCTGGCACTGCACGCAGAGAGGCACGAGCTCCACGCGGCGCGGGGAGTGGGTGGCTACGCGAGGGCGAGCGAGCGCCCGAAGAGACCACGCCCGAAGCTGGGGGGCTGGCAGCCCACACGTGCAGCGTGCACGGGACAAGCAGCCAGCCAGGGCCAGCGAGTGCGAGCGGCCTCGTCGGCCCCTCCCGACGCCTGCCCGGCGCTGGGAGGCGCCGATGACGGCTAGGAGAGAAGCACGGCGGCGAGGCCGAAACCAGCTACGCGCGGCAGTTGTTCGGCGGTGGACCAACCTCCCCTTCAGTAAACCTCTGGTACATGGAAATTGCATTCGAACCACGTGGCCCCCCAGACCCCCCGAAATCAATATTGATGGCGTGGCGACGGGGGGGGCGTGAGTGGACAGAAATATTCGAACCCCAAAGCACCGCCTTTACTGAGATGAACATTGATGTCGGGGGCGCGGGGGTGATTTAGAATCTCCCTCGAATGTGTAAGGGTTCAAATATTATTGTCCATCTACTATCCCCTCAGTGAAAACGGCCTGGGACCGAAACCGACGGACCCGGACCCGCAACAAAATGACGGCCGCGACGCCCTCTCGCGAACCGAAAACGGCCAATTCCTGAATCGACGTGTCAGGGTAGGAGGCCAATCAACCTCCGAGTTGTCGTCCTCCCCCGTTCCTACCCCCTCCCCCTGCCCCTTCGTCCGACCTGGCTGGCCCGCCTCCAGTCAGCTGTGGCCTCCCACAGGAGCCCACGGGTGGCGACAACTGCGCAATTCGCGGCCCTCCCAGGGAACCGCAAAGTCTCGCAGGGGTCCGCGTGGCTACCCACTCCGCTGTACCTCTCAGGAGCCCACGACCATGGCGATGACAGCGCGGGTCCCTGCTGGGAGAGAGGCGAGGAGGAAGAGGAGGAGGAGGAGGAGGAGGAGGAGGGAAGACGCGGGAGGAGATGCACGAGCAGTGCTCTGTTCAAAAAGAAGACCCAACACAGGAGGGTTGGGAATAGCATGAGCCCAACCTTAGGATATGGGCAATGCGTTACTACTATGACGTCTGCCACTAACACAACGACTACGACTACGACTACTATTACTGCTCCAATACGCGAAGCTCGTCTGGATCCATTTTGACCTGCTCCAACTTCCCTCCTCCTCCTCCAACTCCTCCTGCTGCTGCTGCTCCTCCTCCTCCTCCTCCTCCTCCTTACGCTCCTCCTAATATGCTCCTCACCCTCATCATCTTCGTCCTCGTCGCCAAGCGGGCCCAATAGGCATCGAAGGGGCCAGGGATATGCCAGACCCAGTATCTGAAGCGACCCCCACTGATGAGCCCTCCCACGGCCAAATGATGTCAACCTGCTTGAACACCAGATCGACGCGGCCATCTCTGCCAGCGCGCGTACCAATACCCCGCTCCTCGGTGTGCGAAGCTCCTCGGAAATATAGATCATCCTGCTGCTGTTCTGGTCGAGAACGCTCCACTTGCCTGTGCGGACCATCCGGTGCGGATAAACTGCGGGACGCGTCCTCCTCACAGCCGGACAAATCCTATAGGATGAAAGGGGTCGGCGGTGCGGCGTAAGCCTTAGAAACTAACGACTGAGCAGAGAGCCTGTGACGACGTACCCAGCGATCAAGAGAACACGCCGACCCCCGTAAAGCCGACAGGCAATCACCTGTCGTCCATGTAACATACGAGCAAGCTGATGACTTAAACAGCTCGCCAACCAGCCACGTCGGGGCGATTCTTCACCACCAGCACACCCAAGGAGCCGTGCTTGACGCAGCGGTACTCTTCTGATTTGCCGCCGCACGCACCATCAGATGGGCTCTGGCGGTCACTGCTGTCACTGCTGTCATCCACGGCCCAAGGATCGCGTCCAAACGTCGTGAGCTGAAGGAGCTTTTAGCCCCGCGCGCGGCAGCGAGCGCACGGGCCGCCCCCCTTCTGGAGACAGGGCCTTTGAGCCGACCTGGGGATAGGAACGGAGGGGGAGGATGAGCATGGAAGGAATGCGGAGGCGCAGGAAGAGGAGTTGGTGAAGAGGGCGAGGAGGCAGCACCAACGCTCTGGGTTATCCTCACAAGTGATGGCCGAGGCGGTTGCACAAAGCTGACAAGCGCCTGACCATGCATGCCTCAATCCAACGATACTGCAACATGCCTGAACGGCAGGGCGCCGGAAACATGATACAGCGGTCACACGGTCGACGGGAGCGAAAAGCGTAAGAGACAGAAGTGAGGCAAACCGGGGGGCGTATGGAAAATCATAGAGTCAAACATCTTCCCAGGAGGCAGCACCATTCCGCCCTTCTGAGTGCAACCACATTTGTGGCAGAACGTTACACATGCCGCGGCCTCCATGAAGCAAAAGACATTGGAAACAATAGTGGCAGACGTCCGGTGTCGAAATCCTCATGTTGCGCCCCCTCGTGTGCCGCATTCACAAACCCCTTTGTGTCCTACTCACCCTCCTCTGCCCTGATCCTTGCTTTCGCCCTGCTCCTCGTCCATGCCATCTCCCTCCCACTGACTACGATTGGGTGCCCACTACCCTTCCCCGTTGCAATGCCGGCAAGGTGCCTTCAGGCCCTCTGCAAATTCCGCAAGCCGCTGCTCCCTTGCTTCAACCTCCTTCTGGTGGAGCGCGACGTCCACCTGCTTCGCTGCGTGCGCTGGAGCAGCTGCACACACTGAACCCACAATGCTGGGTCCCGCCTTCAAATCGGTCCAACCCGTGTGCCACGAACCACATCCGGCAGGTTCGTGTCGTGGCGACACTGGCTCTGGTTTCTGACACCGCGCGGATCGTTCAACTTTGAACAATCAGCGGCTTTTCGATCGCCAGATCTTTCCGCATCGGCCACTGGCGGCGTGCAACCTCGAACGCCCGCGGCGGGATCGCCACCGCGTCGGCACGACACGAACCTACCGTAACCAAGCAGCAACAGCCCAATTGCGTTGGCTGCGCGCGCTTCCACTGTACGCGTCCCACCCTTACCCTTGACTTTCACCACGGCGTGCATGTGATCGAGCTCGGCTGGCGAACGGACGCGACGACGTGACAAAAGCAGCACACGGGCGGAACGTGCACTCGGAACCCCCCTTCGACTGCAAATCAAATCACGATGCTCGGGTTGTACGCAAGACGACAATGTATATCGAAGCCGAGGGTGATCCAACATCAAGACGCTGCCCTCCGTCCGCGATCTGCCCACTTCTTGGGAGGGCTCTGACGACCCCCCTGCGGCGCCGTGCCCCCGCGCGTCCGAGCGGGACTCGGGCGCCAGTGGTCCCGTGGTCTCGCGCCGATCCGAGAAATCCGCGCGGACCTCAGAGTTTTTATGTTTATATCATTGTTATTTATATTATTGATCGGCCAAAACAGTGTTTTCCGCTTTCGTTATGTGTTCGTTTTTCCTCGTGTTGTCTTCAGTCCGCCGTTGCTGCAAAACGAAGACGAAACGAGAACAGCCCACGAAACCGCCCAAAAGCACCGCTGAGGTCAACCCCCGGTCAGAAGTCTCTCGCGCCTGGGGGGCAACCACTTGGCCTTGTGGCTGGATGGCGCTCCACGACGGGGCTCGGGCACGAGTGCCTGTTGGCCCCCTGGTCGCCCCTTGCTCGGTCCGATGCAGCAGCCCAGCACTGCCACCCCCCCCACACAACAAAAAAACTTTGGAAACATGTCGCGTTGGCTGCCAAGGGCGCTTATCTCGGCAAGATGTTATGTTGCGCTCTGGCGATACCCCAGCTCGTTCGCAGTGATGGCTAACGTCTTTGGGCACCAACGGAGACTCTTCCCTCGATGGCTAATGACGAGGGAGCGAGGCGCGAGAGGGCGAGGAAGTATGAGGCGGGTCCAGGTGGGAGAGGCGGAGGAGCCACAGCGACGGATGCGATCTCTGGTGGGCACGACATCTCAGGCCCTCCTTCTGGCCACAAGGGGCGCGCGGGCCGCGGGCAACCCAGAGCCCCATCCCGCCATGCCCCGGCGAGCCAGACCGAACAACGCTGCAGGCAAGGCGCGCGGTGGTCACCATCGAGGGCAAGCACGGTGCAGCGACAGGGCCTCCCCTCTTGAGCAGGGACCGACCGTGCCGGCATTCCCACAGTCCTACCACGAAATGTTCTCAGAACCCAGACATGTTCTAAGAACAACAACAGTGCTCCTAGAACACGAGCCCGATGTGTCAAAACAGGACAGGCTCCGCCACAAGTGTTCCAAGGACATCTGGTGGAGACCACCAGCGCTTCTTCGAAGATTGTCTGGTAGGCCAATGGGCGAGCCAGGACGCTTCGCCACTGCTTGACCCTCCTCCTCCTCCTCCTCCTCCTCCTCTTCCTCCTCCCCTCCCTCCTCCTCCTCCTCCTCCTCCTCCTCCTCCTCCTCCTCCTCCTCCTCCTCCTCCTCCTCCTCCTCCTCCTCCTCCTCCTCCTCCTCCTCCTCCTCCTCCTCCTCCTCCTCCCTCCCCCCCCCCCTGGAACGAGTGCTCCCCGCGAGGGCCGACGCGCACGCACGCGCGCGACCTGCAGGGACCCGCCAGCACACGGCAGGACGAGGCCGCCGTGCTCAGGGCCCCCGCGGGGGGGGGCCCGCCGCGCGTCCGCCGCCCTGCCTGGCGACGGGGGCTCCTCCCGCTGTCAGACCACTTGGCCGAAGCGGCTTCGCATAAAACCGAAAAAACTGCATGCTTCCAGTTCTCAAGCTGACATGCGAGAATGCTTTCCTCTTGTCTTCTGAGCACGGATACGCGTGTTGAGAGCTCTACGAGGGTCCCGGCGGTAACCTGGTTGACGGTCTACCGCCGGCTCCCAGTCTTGCGGCCCAGGAGGTCGTCCTCAGCAGCGCTGGGCCTAGACGCTGTTCTTCGTTTCGTGCTCGTCTTGTTGCTCGCGTTGCTCTGCCTGCTTTTTTTGTTTGTCCTGTACCTCCCTGCCAAAACGAAGAACAAGACACAGCCGAGGTCCAGCAGAACAACGTTTAGGTCCAGCCCTGGTCCCCACGGGCCCCCCCTGCAGCCCAGGGTACGACCTACCCACCACCTCCCCAAAGGGGGGCCACAGGAATGGGGAGCCGACGCCGCGTATGAGAGGGTCGCCCGCGGTATAGCCGTGCTGCTCTGCCTCTGCCTCTGCCTTCTTGGGCGGACGGGCGGAGGGCGAAGACGCGCGGAGGGCATCGCTTGAGGCAGACGGCTACGGACAGTCACAGACACGAGGGCAGAACCGTTCAAGACCACTTTGCGGTCACCTGGATGCGGGACCTTCTTGGTGGTCACCTGGGGGGGGGACCGAGAAACACGGAACCACTTCGTGGTTACCTGGCTGCGGAACCGCTTCGTGGTCAACTGGCTGCGGGACCGGAAAGCACGGGACCACCTGGCTGCGGGATCGAGAAACACGGACCCGCTTTGTGGTTACCTGGTTGCGGAATCGTTTTGCAGTCATTTCGTTGCGGGACTGAAGCCACGGGACAATTTTGAGGTCCCCTGGTGGCGGGTCCGTTTTTTGTGGTTGCCTGGATGCGGGGCCAACCAGCACAGAAAGGTCCAAACTTGTGGGGATCGGACTCGTTCCCCATTCCGCGCTGTTTTTGGGTACCAGGCCATTCGCTTAGGTGCGCCCCCACCTTCTGCCATTCTCCCCGCCAACCTGCAAAGCACCCTACCCTCTTCCCCAAAGAAGGTCTGGGCTGGCGCAACGTTCATATTACTCGCAGCCCCGCAGGCGGACTCTTACCATCTAATACTCCTGTCGTCCTTATCGCCATCGCTCGGACGTCCATTCCTCGTGTATTTTTCGATTTCGTGCGTGTTTTTTTCGCCAAATGATCAAGGATGGTCCTCGATGGCCGTCGCCGAGAAAAAAATGCACACGTCCGAGCGATGCCGAGATATTACTCGCAGCCCCGCAGGCGGACTCTTACCATCCAATACTCCTGTCGTCCTTAGGACAACCTGCTCAAACGATTCTCGTAGACAACAGAAGCGTGCACTCAATCGGCCAAGGCAAAGTCGGAAGCACCTTGGCGCTGTCCAGGCGCAAGAGCTCGGCCCCCTGCTCCTTTATCAGCCCGTCCTGGCAGGCATGCATGCGTCACCGCGCATTGCGAGCATCCGAGCCGTGCGTGTGATTATGAAGGTCGACTGTTATTGGAGGCCTGGAAATGGGCACCAACACCAGAACAGGGGGTTGCCTCCACAGGGGGAAGATGATCCTAGATTTCGGTGTTGGTGGTAATATTTCGGTCACCTTGGAAGCCAGAATATTACCACCATCACCGAAATTGGGATCTTCTTCCCTCGGTGGAGGCATACCGCCGATCTTGGTGTTGGTGCCAACCTCTGGGCCTGCGATGTTAGGTTCATGTCGCAAGGGAAGGTGAGTTCCAGCAACTCGTTCGAGGCCACACCGAACCAACCCACATCACTGCAGACACCAGTAGCGAGATTCTTCGATACAAGCCACGGATGTGCAAGTACAGGCGAACCTGCGCGAGAATCTACGGGCTGACGGACTAGCAACATGCCTGACACGCGCAGGCAACGAATTACATGCAATAATCAACTAGGCAACCAATTACATGCAAAAATCAATCAATTACGGACCCATAGTACCCCAAACAGCTGGGTGCAAGATGGCACGAAGAGGTACCGCACGCAAAAATACCACGGGAGATGTATCCAAGACCGCGAGAGCCTGCTTCGAGGAGTCACGATGTTCTTAGTCAGGCAGTCTTGGACATATTCACTGCATTCCATCTCAATTCGAAGTGGGGTTCTGCACGACCTTTGCGCAGTCGACTGCGCAAACAACGAGCCACAGCGCCCGCGAACCAGCAAGCGGCGCGGAAGCGATGAACCACGACAGTCCACCAGGGACGAGAGCCCGATGAGGCAACTACCATGCGAAACAGAAGGTATAGTTATTCCAACGGAGGTGCTGAGGAGAGAGTCGAGGACACTGCAGCCCTGGGGAAAGGAATTGAGACCTCTGGGGCCCACAGGCAGAAAATCCATGCATCGGACGTCGGGGACGCACTGACCCGAGACCCGGGGCCAACACAAGCCCGGGTCAGTCGGGCTCCTGCGGGATCCCGCAGGACCCTGCAGGGCCCTGCGCGCCAGCCGTGGCCGACGCCGCCCTGGCTCTGCAGGACCCTGCAAGATCCGGCGCCCTGGCCGACCCCCGTTGGCATTGACACCCTTCGGTCGGGCCTGCCCCCCTGCAAGGGGATTGTGGGCGAAAAATTGAAAATACTCCGAAAATGCCCCCCAAATGCGCAAAAATAGTCAAACAACGGTCCCCCGACTATCTTTTGACGATCCCTCCTGTGGAGGGACCGGCCCGACTTCATGGCACCCGTGGCCCCCGCGGAGGTCCCTGGGAGGAGCGCGCCGGCTGGGATTATCGCGGTGCCGGGAGGGGGTCCTCCGAGGTGGGGGCCCGACGGACGAAGCGCCTCAGACAGCGCAAAGTCCACCTTTGGGATCCATGCAGATCCTTACTGCGGGATGACGATTAATAAAAAATGGGAGAGAACGATTCGAAACATAGTCGTCTGCTGTTTCTGCACAATTTTCGGACTGGAGGAGAACGATAAAAAATAGTTTTCCAGCCCGCGGCAGGTTTTTTTCTAATCGTCATCCCGGGCGCCACCGCGCGAACACGACCCCCGGTCATTTACGAATTGTCATCCTCCAATAAGTCGGGCCTGTCCCCCTGCAGGCCGATTTGGGACGAGAAAAAAATACCCCCAAGATGCACTCAACAGGTTCAGACACTGTAAAACAAAATAGTCCCCAGAGAAATGCCGTTACTATGTTTGAATATTCCCCCTGTAGAGGGACAGGCCCGACTTAAGCCTATCCCCAGGATCCCAACCCTCAGGACCCCATCCTTCAACCGCCGAACCCAGAGACCCCCGACGCCGTGTTTTTTGTCGCGACGTCGACCCCCAGCAGGTCTGGACCCCTTCCCCCGGGACCGTTGGTTTTTAGTTTTTTTGTTGTTTGTTTTTTCTCCTGAGTCGCTTATTGACGGCTCCGAAGTCCGGCAAGGGCTCCCGGAGCCCGTAAATAGCGAAGAACCTCCCGTCGTGTTCCTTCGAATCTGGCAGGGAGGTGCATCCCAATCAACCTTGTCGACATTCGCGGAGAACTGACGTGCTAACGCAGACATCCTGTTTGGCAATAATTTTTTGGTTCGCGGCTCCAAGGCAAGGGACATGGAGCGAGCACAACGTCTGGGGCGCGGTACGTAGATAATTGGCGCGAGATTGCCGCGGATTCCAGCGGACAACACACGCAGCGGCACATGCACATGCCAGGGACAAATGCCCCTCATTGAGCATGTCAGCGTCTGCAGGTGACCAGCCCAGGCAGCCCGGCTGGTGGGGAAGCAAAAGGCGCGGCAACTGGCAACGGAACGGGGGGGAGAAGTCGCCCTTGCGGCGCCAAGCTCCAGCCGAACCGCAGTCGGAAGCAAGTCTGTTTGGCATCAACGGCTTGTCCTAAATAATCGGAGGGGGGCTGGGCTCCACGGGGGCGGCGCGAGGGCGCGCGACGAAACCGATCCTGCTTGATGAGCCTGTTTTCCACCACCACCACTATAAGTTGGAGGGGGGAAGGAGGAGGAGGGCGAGGAGGAGGAGGAGGACCAGGAGGAGGGCGAGGAGGAGGAGGAGGAGGAGGAGGAGGACCCCTTCCCCATCCAACTTATGGTGGTGGTGGTGGAAAACAGGCCCATCACTTTTGGCCCACAGGGGGGCCTGGCCGGGACCGGTCGCCAAGACCTGCGACGTCGCCCCCCCGAGAGAGGGCGCCCGCCGCCCCGGCCCCGAGGATCTGCGGGGTCCCCGGGGGTCCCGCCGAGGCCAGGCCAACGGCGGTGTTGCTTCACGGTGACGTTGGGAACCGAAGTGTAGGACATCACGAGCCACGCTTCCCTACACGTCCAATCTGCGGACGGATCGAGCGAACACGACGCAGCGAAGTGAAGGGAAGTGCGAGCCCCGCGTTCCCACACTATACCAAAAACGACATCGCCGTTACCTACATCGCCGTTGGTAGCCCGTCTACGGTCCCGACCCCCGCCCCTCCGGGGCGGCGTTTCTTGTTTCGGCCCCATGAGTGGCAACTCCTAGGGGATCGCTGCGGGAGTGCTGGGGACGTGTGAAGGCAGATGGGGGGGCTGTTCAGACGGGTTTCGATAGGCCGAGCCAAAGATTGGGCCATGCTGGGCCCGTTTGGGTGGGGTTGCATCGAAAGGCCGAACGCAAAAGCGCGGCACGCTCTTCGGGACGTCAGTGGTCTGGGCAATGAGCATCCTCCACGAGAATGTCCAAAAGACTGTCCCGTGCACTTGCCCCTCTGTGCCAGCCAACACCTGCTCCTCCTCCAACCCCGTCCTCCTCCCTAGACTCTAGACCTCCTCGCATCGTCGACAAGACAATTCACGACTGAAGATCCTCCGGCCAACGGAGGCCCTTACCGAGCCCCAGGACCGCCAGGACCGTCAAAACACAACTCGCGACGAAAAGGGTCCGGGCCTCTGGGGGTGCATAATTTACAAGATACGCGGCAGGGGCCCACCCACTCCTCCCTCTCTCGCGTATTATTTATTTTCACACACACACACACACACCGTTTTCCACACATGCTCGTATGGGTCTGTTCGATCGGAACGTTTCCGGTCCTTCCACAGCTCGGGCTCCCGCTGCAGTGTTGGCCACAGGCCCCCGCCGTGCAGCCTAGCACTCTCGCCCCCGCGCGGGCCGAATTTCCGGAGCCGACGCTTCCGCGTCGTTGCCGCCCCGCCCCCGTCCTCTTTCTTCACTCCTCCGACTTCCCCTGGTCCTCCTGTTCCCTCTGCTTATCCCACTCCTCTTGTTTCTGCTGCGGCTGATCCTCCCCCTCCTCCTCCTCCTCCTCCTCCTCCTCCTCCTCGTCCTCCTCCTCCTCCTGCTCCTCCTGCTCCTCCTGCTCCTCCTCCTTCTCCCCATTCCTCATCCTCTTCTTGCCCCTCTGGCTCATCGTCCTGAACATCCGTCACTGGCTCCTCCTCCGATGTGCAACGCCCGCCCCTTCTGCTTGCGCATCGCACGGTGGGGTAATTTTGGGGGCGAAGATCCTCTACGACAACCCAGTCGACGGATGCAAAAGAATTGAGCGCAATGAGCAGGAATGGATGAGCAGCGTAGGACGTCAGGCATGGCACGAGCGCATTCATCCTGTCACCCGCCTCTATCTTCTCTACCTCCTTACGGTGAGCCACATGCGAATCCTACCCGAGCAGGTCAGATTTCTGAAACACTGGCGGCGGCTCAGACTGCGACGGACGTCTGAAACGAATTGTACCCAGCGGGAGTGACCAATGTGGGGATGCTCACCGAGAAACCTGATACCGTTGGTCTTGAGCAATACGCTGTGACTTCCCCCCGGTCATTCAGAATCCGTTGCGCCGAGGGTTTCGTGGGTTTGTCCCCCAATCGCACCTCGCTAGGGCACCCTCTGTTTCTCGAAGCGCGTGGCAAACTGGTTGCACACAAACACGCAGCGACGTTCAAGAAATCATATTCCCCCTAAGGTCCTCTGGGCTTCGTAGAACGCTTAGCGACGAGGGAAGACATCTGAGGCCTCCTCGGTGTCTTCCCAATGCTGCCCGCGAATGTTGCTGGCACGACCTAGCACGGGCCTTCTCGGGCCAGGGTACCCTGGGTTTCTCCGATTCGAAACCCCGTCATAACCCCGTCCAGGCAGAGGGGACAGCAGCCTGCAGGATGGACCTGGCCAGGATCTAGAGGACCCCCCCCCAAAGTTGCGTAAACATCAACTTTTGGAGCTCCGCGCAGACTCCTTGGGTCTGCGCCGCCACTCCCTTCCTCCGGCGCGCGGAGCGCGCCAGGGTCGGCGCAGGAGGCGCCGCCCCAAGGGGAGCCCCAGCGCAGATGCTGGAAATCCGTGCGGACCTCCGGAAGCTTGTGCTGTATATGTCCTGGCCATCGCTCGGACGTCCATTTCCTGTGTTTTTGTTTCCGGTTTCGTGCGTGTTTTTTTCGCCAAATGATCAAGGATGCTCCTCGATGGTCCTCGCCGAAGGAAAACTGCACACGTCCGAGCGATGCCAAGTGTCTGGTCTGTTGTCCCTCGAAGCATGCGCCTGGGCCAGGATCGGTGCACACGGCAGGCTCACGTCGCGATGACGTCGGCGTTGGCTTCAAACAGTGGGGGCTCGTTCGACCTTGAGCGATCGCGGCTTTCCGACATCGCCGACACGTCGACATAGGTCGATGCTGGGCCCCTGGCCGGGAAGACCAAAAGGTAACTACCCATACCGCGACTCCCCGGACCTCTCCCGGGGTGCGCTCGCACCAGAGTTCCGAGGCACATCCGGCGGTGGCGACGAGGGCTCCCCAGGAGGCCCCGAGAGGCGAGAACGATTGAAAAAGTAGCGTTATGGGCACAGTCGACCCGTATCAGGAGGATGCGCGATAAGGCTGCGAGGGCCCTGGAGAAGGCCAGCCCAGAGCTTGCCGAGCGGGGCGCGGCCAACAGAAGTGGCCGAGGATGGGCCGAGGAGGCCAGGATGCAAGGGAACCCATCGGTCGGAAGAAGTAGTATGTAGAAGCATGAAGTAGGAAGCGTTGCAAATAGATTGGGTTCGGTCCGCCCCCGAAGAAGCACGGAGAAGGTGAAGCCACTCGATCATGGAAGCAGGAAGGCGCTGAAAGTAGATGGGAATCTGGGAACCCCCACACACACATACTTTCAACGACCGATGGGTACCCTTGGGAAGGTTGCCCGTCCTTGCCGTGCGGGTTGACCGGAGGAGGAGGAGGAGGAGGAGGAGGAGGAGGAGGAGGAGGAGGAGGAGGAGATGGAGGAGATGCAGGAGGAGGAGGAGGAAGAGAGGAGGAGGAGGAGGAGGAAGAGAGGAGGAGGAGGAGCAGGAGGAGGAAGAGGAGGAGGAAGAGGAGGAGGAGGAGGGGAAATCCAAACGAGGAGAAGGAGGAGGAGGAGGAAGAGGAGGAGGAGCAAGAGGAGGAGGAGGCCCGTGCCGGCGTCGCCGCGGCGCGACGCGGCGCGGCGCGCAGGTGCCGTGCCTCTCGCGGACCCTGCCCGGACCCCCACGGGCGTCGCGCAAGGAGCTCGGCGGGGGCGCCGCACTGCCGGTTATGAGCTGCAGTCGACCCGTGCGTGACCCACGGGTTCCACCTAATACGGGATGACGATTTATTAAAAAATGAGAGAGAACGATTAAAAACATAGTTTTCTGCTATTTCTGCACAATTTTCTGACTGGAGGAGAACGATTAAAAAAATGTTCCAGCCCGCGGCCGGTTTTTTCTGATCGTCATCCTGGGCGCCGCCGCGTGAACACGACCCCTGGTCATTTATTAATCGTCATCCTCCATTACACCGAAGGCTCGACCACAAGAGAAGTCTCCCGCAAGAAACCCAGCCAGGCCACCGACACGCCCGGAGGTGCGCACACGGCCGAGATCCAGCACGTCGACGGTTCGGCGATTCTCCTTCGGCTCCTCGCCTCCTGACGCATGCTTCATCAACGCCACCACTCTTTTGTCAATCACGGTAGCCGGTTGTGACATCCTGTCGCGTCCATAACTAACTGCCCTCCCCTACGCCCAACGTGTTAGTCATTATTTTAACTCGCATTGGCAATTGACCCTGCAACCTACCACAACACCAAGAGCATGTGATCGCCCCCCCCCGGATACACACATGCTCGAAAGCAAATCGCACGCTCATCTTCTGCACCTCTCCTATTCACGGTCCTGTCGCGAGTCTTCTTCCTCCAACTTCTGCACCATGCTCTTGAGGCTCTCCACTTCCTGCTTGGGATTGAACACCAGGCGACTTCTGCGCTGCACCGAATCCGCAAGTTCGAGGCCCGTCTCTGTGCAACGCAATGTTTCTCTCAGACCCAGACATCCGACGTCATGATTTCCTCAATCCGCCGGTCCATGTGGCTCCCGACCCCTTCCGAAGCGGATCCAGCCATGGCGACGAAGGCTTCCCAGGAGGTCCCAAAAGATATACAACTGTACGTAACGAAACACCCTTCCCCCAGGCCTCAGACATGCACACATAGCACTGGCAGTGCTCAAACAGTACTGGCCCGGGCAGCACAGCGTGCCGATCACAACGACCAGGGCGAGAGACATTTGCCAGCAGCCTCCTTGACTGAGAGTTGTCAACCCTTTGATTCATATATATATATATATGTATATATATATATGATTGTATATATATATATATATATGTATGGCCTGGTTCCCCGACGTGCAGCTTCTTCACAGCATGGACCCGTAGAAGCCTCGATCGCGATGACAACGACGACGATGACAACGAAGACAACGGTCTGCATAACAAAAAATGCATACGTACGTAGCACCCCGCAGATGCGGATAAGAGTGAGGGGGCGGTGGGGACGTCGGCAATCTGTGAGACTCTGGAGAAGCCCGCCGCAGGCGCCAAAGTTTCAAAAATTATTCGACGAGCCCACCGCAGGCGCCGATTTTTCGTTAAACCAATGTGTGTAGGTCGCGGGTGGGTCGCTGGTGGGTCGTTATTGGGTCGCGGCTGGGTCGCGGGTGGGTCGCTGTTGGGTCGCTGGTGGGTCGCGGGAGGGTCGCCGGTGGGTCGCGGGGTGGGTCGCGGGCGGGTCTCGGGTCGCGGGTGGGTCGCGGGTGGTCGCGGGTGGGTCGGGTCACGGGGTGGGTCGCGGGGTGGGTCGCGGGTGGGACGACGACAACAAAGAAACGCAACAAGCAGAATTCTCACCACAAATCCCCTCTTCGGACACGCACCCAGGGACAATGCATGACCGTTCGGCCCCCTCACTCTGACAACGAGCCAGCCGTAAGCGCCGGTTTTTTCGTTAAGCCAATGTGGGTAGGTCGCGGGTGGGTCGCGGGTGGGTTGCAAATGGGTCGCGCCTGGGTCGCGGGAGGGTCGCGGGTGGGTCGCTGTTGGGTCGCGGGGTGGGTCACGGGTGGGTCGCGGCTGGGTCGCGGAGTGGGTCGCGGTGGGTCGCAAGTGGGTCGCGGGTGAGTCGCGGGGTGGGTCGCGGGTGGGTCGCAGATGGGTCGCGGATGAGTCGCGGGGTGGGTCGCGGGTGGGTCGCGGGGCGGGTGCTGCGGGTGGGTCGCGGGGTGGGTCGCGGGGTGGGTCGCTGGTGGGTCGCGGGGTGGCTCGCGGGGTGGGTCGCGGGGAAGGTCGCGGGGTGTGTCGCAGGGTGGGTCGCGGCGTGGGTCGCGGGGTGGGTCGCGGGGTGGGTCGCGGGTGGGTCGCGGGGTGGGTCGGTGGGTGGGTCGCGGGGTGGGTTGCGGGTTGGGTCGCGGGTGGGTCGCGGGTGGGACGACGACAACAAACAGCAACAACGCAACAACACAACAACGCAACAAGCATAATCCTCATCACGGATCCCCACTTCAGCCACGCACCCAAGGAGAATGAATGACCGTTCGGCCACCTCACTCTGATATACATATATATACACAGACGGACAGACAGACAGACAGACACCAGACAGACAGACAGACAGACAGACAGACAGACACACAGTCAGACAGGCAGACAGACACACATACACACATACACACATACATGCATAATACTTTCATGCATTCATTCATTCATACATACATACATACATACATACATACATACATACATCCACACATGTGTGTATATATATAAACATATGTATGTATGTATGTATGTATGTATGTATGTATGTATGTATGTACGTATATATATATATATACGTAGCACCCCGCAGATGCGGATGAGAGGGAGGGGGCGGTGGGGACGCCGGCAGTTTGCGAGACTCTGCAGAAGCCCGCCGCAGGCGCCACAGTTTCAAAAATTATTCAACGAGCCCGCCGCAGGCCCCGACTTCTATTCATTAAACCAATGTGTATAGGTCGCGGGTGGGTCGCGGGTGGGTCGCAAACGGGTCGCGGGTGGGTCGCTGTTGGGTCGCGGGTGTAGAGGGCAGAAAATCCACCCCATAATAATCACTCCGACAAGCGAAGCCGTCTAGTAAACGCATACAAGGAATGAATCGAACAGGGCAGGGCTGTTTAGTAAACGCCCAAGGCCGTTTCGTAAACGTCAATTGTCGGGTCCGGGTAATTGTTCCTCCCTTGAGGGTGGGTCGCGGGGTGGGTCGCGGGTGAGTCGCGAGGTGGGTCGCTGGTGGGTCGCGGATGGGTCACGGGTGGGTCGCGGGGTGGCTCGCGGGTGGGCCGCGGGGTGGGTCACGGGTGGGTCGCGGGTGGGTCGCGGGGTGGGTCGCGGGGTGGGTCGCGGGTGGGTTGCGGGGTGGGTCGGTGGGTGGGTCGCGGGGTGGGTCGCGGGATAGGTCGCGGGATGGGTCGCGGGTGGGTCGCGGGTGGGACAACGACAACAAACAACAATAACAGCAGCAACAACAACAACAACAAGAATGCAACAATCAGAATTCTCACCACGATTTCCCTATTCAGCCACGCACCCAGACCGTTCGGCCCCCTTACTCTGATAAACGTTCGACGATTCGCGCGGATTTGCGCGTCCGATCCCCCTCCCTGGCGCGCAGAGCGCGCCAACGGCGGTGCCAGAGGCGCCGCCAGATGAACAGCGCCGATCCAAGAAATCCGCGCGGAGTTCCGAAAGCGCATGCTTACGCAATGTGTTGTTCTTCGACCTCCTCTTCGATTCTCGTTCTGTGGGCCTTCCTGGAGCCGCTCCCTGCACCCTCATGCGTCGATGCTACGTCGATCGTCCGTCGGCTTGAGTCTGACTTGAGTCGAACTAGAGTCGCACAGATTCTTGAGGTGGGCCCTGGGAAGGTCCCCAAACGAGGATCTCCGCAGTGACAGGGAAAAGCGGCACTACACCATGCGAAATGCTTTAGAAATCATGGGTGAAGAAATTCATAGTCTCAAAATTTTCATAAAAAAAAACCCAGACTGTCTATTCAAATCTTAGGATCTACATTGAAACATTAAGAATAATCGAGACTCTGGCCGAAAACTCGGGTTTTCTTAAGCATCGCCTAGAGTGTACCACCCCCCGCGCGAAGAGCAAGAGGAGCCTCCCGGTGCTGCGGGCCCCCCTCCTCGCCCGAAGCACCCTCGAGACGTGACGTGATCTGTTTGTGCAGCAGGGGTCTGAGGGCAAGTCGGGTCGGGCGAAAGGGGGGGATAGCAAAGGGGGGGGTTGAGAATCAGCTCACGCAGCTGATTTTTCCGGCGCCTTCCGGCGCCGGGGGCGCTGATGTATCGAGGAATGGGCCCCTCGATGGGGCCGAAACCAGCTGCATGCAGCTAATTTCGTAACCCCCCCTTTCCCAATCCCCCCCTTTCGTCCGGCCCGAGAAAGAGGAGGAAAAATGAGCAGGTGGAGGACGAACAGAAGAGAGACGACGATGACCTCGGCCTGCCTACCTTCCTCCATCCTCCAGCCCCCCTCCCTTCCTCCTCCGCCTCCATTTCGTCCTTGAGCCTCCTCCTTCTCCTTCCCCTCGAAGACGCTGACGACGGCCACGAGGACGACGACGACGACGAAGTCCACGAAGACGACGACGACGACGACGACAGCAACGACGACGAAGATGCACTGGCCGTCCTTGCCCTGATGCCGAAGGCCGCCGGCCGTACAGTCATCGTACAACCACGCGGGTCACTGCAGAAGGAGCGACAAGTATCTCTCGCCACGGCGAATCTCGGTCACGAATTGACTAGCCAAAATGGACCCCTAATCCTTTGGGGAGAGACCTAAATCAAGAGGCCCAAAACAAAATTAGGGATAGGGAATCTCTTCTGCAGCTCTATCGGACCACCTCGCCCAAAAGTATGATCTCGAATGCGAGGCTGTGAACCTCAGTGAGGTCACGGCTCCATCGTGTTATGAAGGTTCGGATTATTTGTTCTCGATGGCGCAAAAACATTAGGGATAGGGGATCTGTTCTGCAGCTTCCTCGGACCAACCCACCCAGAATTATCATCCCGAATGCGAAGATGGGAACCTCAGTGAGGCCACGCCTTCATCGTGTTATTAGGGTTAGGTTGTTTGTTCGCGATGACGAAGTGGGTTGCCCGACCTGAGGCCCTATAAGGAGCGGCCCGACATGACCACCCGAACCCTGGGGAAACCAAAAGGCACCGACACCACCACTCCCTGTGGACCTCTCCCGGGGGTGCGTTTCTTGACCAGGACGCCGAGGCGAACCCAGCGGTGGCGGCAAGGGCCTCCCAGGAGGCCCAACAGGAGAGGAAAGCAGGGCAAGGGTAGCGGCATTGGTACCTCTCTCTAGAGGAAGAAGAACAACACATAAACATAAACTTCTGGCTCTCCGCGAAGATTTCTTGGAATCGCGCTGAGCCCCCCTCCTTGGCGCGCGGAGCGCGCCAGGGGCGGCGCCGGAGGCGCCGCCGGGGGGGGCCCCGGCGCGGATCCAAGAAACCTGCGCGGAGCGCCAGAAGTTGATGCTTACGTGCGCTATCATTTTTTCTTCGACAGGAGGGCCAAAACGCGGGGCAAAGGGTGGCGGCACCGGTGCCTCTCCCTCGACGGACCCGGGCCTGCGAGGAGCGGCCCGACCGCCCGAGCGAGAGCGCCCCCCCCCCGCTCCACCTCGCCCTCACGGGCCGACGGGGTCGAGCGCGAGGGGGAGGAGGAGGAGGAGGAGGAGGAGGAGGAGGGGGAGGGGGAGGAGGAGGAGGGAGGAGGGAGGAGGAGGAGGAGGAGGAGGAGGAGGAGGAGGAGGAGGAGGAGGATGATGATGCCCGCGGGGTGAGGCGGACCGCGTCGAGCCACGGCCACCCCTGCGAGGCGCGCGCCC